GCCTGTGCCTGTTCGTCCATCGATTTCACACGCACTTAAAAAAAGAAGCAGCAACAACAGTGAGGAAATCTTAGCACTGGCTGTTCAGTTTTTAGTTTTATTTCTTTTAATTTGTTGTCTGCTCTTCTTATTTTACACTTTTGACCTCAATACGAAGGCGAAATCCGGAGTTCTGGGCGATGATGTCATCGTCATCGCCATGATTGAAGATTGAAGATTGCTGATTGACGTCTGACGATTGCTTTAACTAAGCTAAATTATTTCGGTATTTGAATTCATTCACAATTTGCAGACACTCGACACTCGACGCTCGACTGCCACATTCATTCATTAAGATAGTTTATTCATCTCGTTTCGGATTCTAAGAATTTGAAGAGCGACAATTGTTAGCAACGACAGACATTTGTGTCTTAGCTTTTTCATTCATATCTCTGGGTTAAAGGTAAGCTGTTGCTTGAACTTGTTTTCGGGCACGCACAAACTTAATGTTGGCGATTAATACGAAGAGCTACAAGTGTGTCCAAAAGGAAGTTGTCAACGGGCTGTTGTTGTACCTGACCAGGTGGCAGATAGCAGCACAGATAAGCAGCTGCATTGATAAGAACAAGCAGACAGACAGACAGATAGATAAAGTCGAAGTCATAAAGCGCAGTAAACATAAGTGATAGATACGACTACGGCTGATTGTGCGTATACGTAATTAAATATTTAGTACTCACATATATGTGGTAGATGCTCAGGTACACAGAGCATATAAAACGTGTGAATTGTGTAGAGGCAAAGGCAACGGCAGCAATAGCTAACTGACAGGTAGTAGATACATTTGTATCTCACGCTTGTACCTGCAACGTCTGCTGAGACTCTTTCTCTCTCTGTGTGCGTGTGTGTGTTTGCTTGCAGCTATTTTTAAGCATTTCACAAGTAAATTTATCAAACAAACAAATGCAAGAACTTGCAGACAGCAATTGAGTTGCTTGCAAGTGTAGCTACAGACAGACTCTGTCTATCTCTTTCTCTCCCCCCTCTCTGTCTGTGTGATACAATTTTCCAGTCATTTTAGCCGATTCGGTTTGGTCAATGTCTCTTGCTTATGTAATGCCACACCCCTTGCGCCTACTCTTATAACGATGATGCAGCTCCAGTTGTGTTTGGCTTCATTGTTTGTTCATGGTCTTTTGTGCCGCGTAATCGTCGTTTTCCAATGAACTCAGGTATGTGGAGTGGGCATGAGAGTTATACAAGCGTCAACGGATTCTTTCATTCTTTTTTTTGGGTTCTTCACTGGCTTGATTCATACTCATGAAAAGGTTAATGCCTACTGAAGTGTGCGTGTGTGTGTGTGCCCAGCATCGAAACCAAAATAGTCGGCACCTATAGTCAAGCATTTCCGCTTCAACTTAATCTGTGTTAGTTATGCTTCACTGTAGATTACAGCGCGCATTATTAGAATTATATGTAAAGCTGCATGCCCTCTTGTCATATCAGACACATTCAGATTCAAATGGGTTTGCTTGGAGCTATGTATGTTTAACTGTCAGTCAGTTATCTATCAGTTCAGTCGGCTTTATCTTTATCTAATTACTTTCTAGCACCTCGTACTATGTTGTCTTTTCTCTAAGTGCTTTGGCATATTTGTTTTCACATTTGCCATTTAGAGATAGAGTTTCCATTTGCTGTTATCAGCTAAGTGTGTACCTGGCCAGGGCAGGTAGGTAGGTGTGTTTGCTCTCCGCTCGTATTGCACAATCAACGCGGCGCATAAATCAATTATTTGCCACCTAAAGCACATAAATCAACTTATGACGAGATACAACAATGAGAATAACAAAGACTCAAACATTGAATTGGTCAGCACAAAAGAGCGACATGAAAAGGCAAAACGGCAGAAAGGCGAGCAAATTGTATTTGGCTTTATAAATGGCCAGCAAAGCCAGTGTTAATATGGCGTTGGTGGCGTCTTGTTACCACAACAACAACAGAAACAATAACATAAACAACAACAATCACAAATATTTGAATGATTTCGTTCGTTCTTCTTTCATTTTTTTAACAACATGAAACTCAAGCAGATTTCAATTTTTTTTGCGCAGCTAACTCAGAGTTGGTTGTGTGTGTGCATGCGTGTGACTGTGCGTGTGTGTTGTTTGCTTGTCTAACTTAATTTCAAAGCATCCACCTACCAAATGCCACACACGCACCACAAAACACACGCACATACACCCCACTTGCAACTCTAGGCACCTCAATTTTCAGCAGCTCCACCCTTAAAGCATATACACTTGACTTTATATATAATATATATATATATATATATATATATACACTTATATATATATTTTTTGCTTTTTCCGTTTGTGGTTTTTTTGCTGTATATTTAGACGGTTTATTGACTTTGGTTTCTTTTTCGCACACTAAGCGCAAATCTAAACATTAAATGAAGTAAATGTAAACAAAAAAAAAAACTGTTAAAAATACTTTTGTGCGTCGTCTTTGAGATACACACACTAAACTGATTTTTTAACATGAGCATGTCGAACAAGCAGAAGAAGAAGAAGAAGAAATCGAAGAGCAACCAAATATGCTTCTACATATAGATATGTTACATAACTATGAGCAGAATGTGCTAAGAAATGCAAATTTATTTACCGCATTTTCTCCATATAAGAACGGACATGTTATAACAGTATACCAGATATAATATAATACCTGGTAATATAGTATAACAGTGTATAACAAATACTTCATAAATCAATATAAAGAAAAAAACAATTTTTATAGAAAAAAAACCAAAACGCATATGAGAATAGTTAAGCACATGACATATAACACTTGGCATTATAGTATAACACTGTATACCAATTATGTAATTATAGATGGCATATCCGAATTTATGGTAAGCAGAAGATATATTATATTGCTTTCTCATAAGGGTGTTCCCTGCCTTTCAGCCAGCGCATAATTTGCCTTTTCCAACCACTAATTTCTTTATTCCATTTGCTCTATCTTTTGCAGGTGCGTATTCAGACCAATTTCCTATGTGCTTGCCTTATCGCTGGAACAAACAGAGTACAACGCATAATTATCTATGCCGAAAGACTATCGGATCGGCTCAGTGGTTAGTTAACGCCCTGCTAGACAGCCTGGCGTTTCGCCACAGCTGACAGCGATATACATATTTATACTTATCGTATAATATATTGTTTAAGTAATGTGTATCTCCCTCTGTGCGTGGGAGCGACCTTTACAAGAGACCATCAATCATTTAACAACAATTGCGAGGCGCTCAACGCCAACACCAACTAAAAAGCAAATACAATAAAAACGCTACCCCCACGCTAGAGAAGAAATAAAAAACAAAACATGCAAAGGCGCGGGAGCGTCAGATATATTACCAAATATGAATATAAATGCTTTTAAAAAAACAACCAAGCATATAATCATGCCGTATGGTGTGGGGAAGTTGGAATACCCTTACTGAGCCAGAGTTAGATCAAAGATAAGAGGCAAACTGCATTAGGAAATAGACATGAGTGAGATACATCTCAGATGTGTCACAGATAGCTCAACTAAGATCTTTGTATAACAGTGTATAACAGTTAGTCAAGTGAGTCATTCCGTATATACGTGCACGAAAGCTATACAAATATAATTCCCTCTTTACAGGCATACACATTGCATAGATACATATAAGAAGCACATAGTATAACAGTTTATAACACTTAGTCAATAAAGTAGTAGCTAAGTGTATACCAGAGTAGATCAAAACAGACACAGAATTGCAGTAAATCCAAGATTGGTCTTCATTTCTATATAATATAACAGCTGAAAGCATGGTATAACAATGTATAACAGATATAGAAATATAATAAAAATATGGTTTTAAGCGAGATATATAATAGATAGGTAATAGATACGTTGATACCTATACCATTTAACAGCTGACAATATAATATAACAGTGTATAACAGACACTCTTTAGAGTAATACCCTCTATAAGGGCATAAGAACGAAACAAATAAAAGCACAGGGGCACTTAATGTTTGCCTCCTCTAAGCTGTGAGAGCAGCTAACGCAAAACAGTAGGAAAAATTTTAATATTATTGTCAACGTGGCTGGGGGCGTGGCTGTTTGTTGTGCGTGTGTGTGTGTGTGTGTGTTGAACTCGACGCCGACAGCCATTCACTTTTCATTATTAATATTTTGTATGCTTAAATTATGCTAATCCGTTGAAATATGATTATGCCAAATGACAACAGCTTGAAAAATTAAAACTTTGCTGGGCATAGCGGGGGCGTTTGGGGCGTGGCATGCACGTTCGCAGGTGCGCCCCCAGGTAGCTATGCATAATTTGATTACCTTTCGCAGCTAATTTCGTGCTATAATTAAATGCCACCAAAACTGCGGCAATCCCTTAACCCTCTGCCACTGTGACACCCATTCTCTGCTCTGCTTTCCATTTCGAGCAAGTTTTTCAATTAAAGGCAAAGGCAAAGGCAAACGCAAAGCAAATACGCGACCTTCAAAGCCAAAAGCAATTGGGCAAATGGCAAATGGAATTGCAGTTGCAAAAAGTAATTTAATTAGCTAACTCTTAACCCAAAAACGAATCACGGCAACAGCAGCAGCAGTCTCTATAATATTTTCACTTTAATGAAAATAATTTCCGCACTAGAGCGAAAGGGTTACCAAGCGACGCTTGTCGCTCGTCGTTCGTCCTGTCTGTCCTTGTCGCGTGTTTGCATTTCTGCAAGTTTTTCTTTAATTTTTTTATTGGCGGTGCCAGTCGCCAAAGTTTTGAGGCGCCAAACAAAAGAGAAACTATCCAGCGAATGCAGAAGACGCTTGGCTAAAAGCTATGCAAATTGGTTGGCCAAGTGTTGACTTCCACCATGAAATGAATTTTTTAAAATACGCCCAACACGGTGTAGGGTGGTTGATGGTAGGGATATCCCTGCTTAGCAAACAAAATGCTGCTTTAAGCTTCCCTAGCGTCTATCGTTTTTACAGTCAAAACCTAAAATTTGAGCATTCAAAATTGTTTTTACATATTTTATTTGAAACTTTTGGTGCAAACTTATTTTTTTGGCCATGTCTCGTCAGTTGTTGGGCATCTCAAAATTGTATGGTGAGCGCCTGTTATTGAGCAGCAGGCCGCGCCTGAGCTACTGTGAACGTAGCTCAGCTGCGATCGCATCAACCACAAGCTGCTTACGCAGATATTTTGCCTTATTAACAAACCAAAGTCGCTGCGGAACACTCCCGGATCGATACCCACGCAGCCGCATGTCCAACGATAATAAGATGACTGCGAGGCAGCGAACTGCCAGACGACGACTGCAACGTGAACGACTTTTGTCAATTCCACCCATTGAAATTCAGAGCCATTCTAAGATGTCCGACCAACGTGACGTACTTGCATCGGGCGACCATTTTGAGTGCTTGGGAGCTAAACTGCCGCTCGATGGAATCATACAGTCAGACGAGACATCGGTAGACGGCATGGCCATACAAACAGAAGACAAGTCTAGCACAATTCCTACATCAGCAGGTGACAATAGCGGTGGAAGTCGCAGTGGCCGAGGCAGTTTAGGTGTCTTTGGCGGTAGCAGTAGCGATGGGACTCGTGCTAACAGCACTCCCGCCAAATCTGGGTCCACGGAACGTACTATAACTTTGATGCCCGGCGATGGCATCGGACCGGAGATTTCAGCGGCGGTGCTCGCTGTATTAAAGGCCGCTGGAGCACCATTGAAATTCGAGACAGTCGATGTGACGCCCACAATTGATAAAGATGGCAAGCAGTCAATACCGCAAGAAGTTGTTGACAGCATGCAGCGCACCAAGCTGGGACTTAAGGGTCCACTAATGACTCCCGTTGGCAAAGGCTTTCGTTCCTTGAATCTAATCTTACGTGTGCTATTCAACCTGTACGCAAATGTGAGGCCGTGCCGATCCCTAGAAGGCGTCGAAACTGTGTATGGCAAGGTGGATGTAATAACCATTCGCGAGAACACAGAGGGCGAGTATTCGGGCATTGAGCATCAGCTGGTCCATGGCGTGGTCCAGAGCATCAAGTTGATAACGCGACCCGCCTCAACACGCGTCGCTGACTATTGTTTCAGATATGCGCTGGCTATGAAACGCAAGAAGATCACCGCAGTTCACAAACGTTCAAGCATGCGTATGTCGGACGGACTGTTCATCAATTGCGTGCGCGAGGTGTATGAAAAGTACAAGGATCAGTTAATTAAGCATGGCATTGAGTACGAGGAGGCGCCCATCAGCAAGGTGTGTCTCAAGATCGTGGACGATCCGACTCAGTTTGATGTGCTAGTTATGCCCAACCTGTATGGTGATATCATGTCGGATACTTGCGCTGGTTTGATTGGAGGCCTCGGACTAACGCCATCTGGCAACATTGGCCTTAATGGCGCCATCTTTGAGGCTGTCCATGGTACAGCGCCGACTATCGCTGGCAAGGATCTGGCCAATCCAACAGCCTTGCTGCTCTCTGCCGTCATGTTGCTACGCTATATTGACATGAGCAACTATGCCGACAGGATAGAGCGTGCGGTCATCAAGACCATCAAGGACGACAAGGTGCGTACCATAGACCTAGGTGGCAAAGCCAAATGCTCTGAGTACACCCAAGCGCTCATCAAGAATGTAGAATCATTAAAGTGACAATGGCAAAATGAAGATAAATTGGGCACTTTATATGTGCCTATATACTTTTTTATGTCAACTATTTTGCTACAAGTTGATATGTCTTTGAAACGTTTCGCGTTTTTGATCACGATTCATAAACTTGACATAAATTATCTTTGGAATATAAGAATTTAGGTATAAGTTTCGATGACGCGACTATTTCATTGTAGACCGCTTTGAAATGAAATTACAATTTAAATATAATGAAAATTTGCTCACCGGACGCTTTTATTTCAATCACAATATCAAAGTTCATCAGCAGCTTTATCAGACCAAAGCATGCAAGCACAACCAATACCAAACAAGCGAACATCACAGGAAAACCGACCGACACTCGACAGTCAAAGCGAGACAGAGAGAGTAGGAGATGAGAGACTGCAGCTGAGAGGGCCAGAGGTGCCAGGTGCCCCTAATCCAGACCCAGTTTAGCCAGCCAGCCAGCCAGTCTAACCAGTGCCAAAGTCAAAGTCAGCGCCAGAGTCAGTCAGTCTCTGCGGGCCCGAAAGCGAGAGCCAAACGCAAGTCATCAACCGCACTGGGTAGCCCTTTCCAACTTCAACTTCAATCCCTGCCCCTATCCATGGCATGGCCCCTATGCGCAGCTCCCTTTGCTCTAGGGGCCGGCTTACGTTGCATTTTTACATGCATGCTTGGACCATTTCCACTTCAAAACTGGCTGCGTTTAAAAGCACCGACCAAAACTCTAAACAAACCCAGCTACTAGCCAACAGCGAAAGAGCGAGATGAAGAGAGAGAGAGAAAGAGAGATGGAGCCGTGCCTTTTGGACTGGGTGCAACCGAGCGGAGCAGGAAGAAAATGCCACAGAGCCAACTAAAAAGCCATATAAAAAATTAAAAAGAAAAAGAGAGATTGACAGAGTGTGAAAGACAGAGAGAGAGAGAGAGAGAGAGAGCGAGAGAGGGAATGTAATTTTGTGTGTGTGGGAGATTCTTTGTGTGCATTTCAAAGAATTTTTATAAACAAGAAGCAGCCACACAGAGCAGAGAACCAGAGAGCCAAAAGATAAACTTCGTTTTGTGTGCATATATGTATGTGAAACAAAAGTCAAGAATTTTTACGTATTTTTTTATCATTTTTTTTTCTCCGCTTTTGCTGTTGTAACCGGTTTTTTGGGTTGCATTGCAGCAGCGGAGCTAAGAAAAAGACTGACTCGATTCTAACAGCCACCAGGTTGAAGCTGAGAGCAGCTGCCGGAGGGGGCTGTGGGTGCTGGAGAGGGGGCTGAGCGTGGCATGCTGGTTCAGGTTCGGCCTAGTTGTCGCTGCAGTCTTCATTCATAAATCTATATTCGCATAGCTGAAGCTAGAGTGGAACACCCCAACCAATTGAGACTCATTTGAATTGGCCAACACGCAAAGGCCAAAGCGCCAGACAGTGAGTGGTCATGTCTGTTCCACAGAAATGTTGTGCAGTGTAAATGGAGAGGCGGAGGTGTACCGGGGGCCTATAGACAAAAGGCGGCACGATAATTGTCATGCCATGCCATGGGCCATGGCCCGAGGGCCGCTCATTAGAATGCTAATTTGTAAATGCAATTGGTTGACGTGCAGAGCGCCAAGCTGTGAACATTTGTGCCTCGTTTAATTGTTTCAAAGTAAAACTTTTTTTGTGATTTCACAGAATTTTAAAAATGAAAATACGCGGAATTAAACGAACGCATTTCCTCAAATAAAAACAAAATTTCAACAATGTATTATTAAATATTTTTTCCAGAACAAAACAGACCAGATGTATAAATAGTAATTAGTTGCTTAAAAAAGTACCTAAAATTACGTTTGTTCAATGATTAAAGACGATAATTAAAATTGCCAGTCAAGCACTATGCTGGCCTCTCCTCAGTTGTGTGCTCCATAAGTACTTTGCTCGTTAACAAACTTGAGCTCTTCAACAAGAACAAAAACAACTAAGACTGCTCGAGTCGTAAGTGCTCGACTAAAAGATACTCTTACCCAAGTAGCTAGTATTTGTTATAGATATAGATATATATATATATTATGAATAGCTTTTATAGATATAGATATATATATATATATTATGAATAGCTTTTATATTTAGGAAGTGTTGTACGAGAATCTATGCACAAGCCAAAGCATAATAATCTATTTAGTAAGAAGAAGTAATATTGGACACATCCTAAAAATGGAATTCATAATACCTTTGTGAACTTTGGAAAAAAATATTTAGCAATTTTTATGAATCTAGCTCTGAAAAGCTTCGAGATATGATCAAATATATGAAATTTGATGTCGATTTTTAAAAGTGTAGGTTATCTAGTAGTTCTGGGCAGCACCGCCACTACAACCAATATACTATCTTTTCACTTGACGTTCGGGTATTGGTAGCATGGGGAACTACATATTTCACTCTTCATTTGCAATTTTACGAGTGCTTGACAGCACGTTTTAAATCGCTTTTAACTGATTTTCCGGCTCAAACTCGAAGCACACAAATTTGCACGCTGCCCCCGCCGAACTGTTTGCCCTGTCGCCCCTCTGGCCAGGTCTCTCCACTTGACAAGGGTTGCAACACACTCGTCTACTCTTTTAACAAAGATTTACGACCGCCGTCAATAGTGCTTTGCATGACATGACCCTCCGACCCTGCGACCCGTCGGCCCACCTCTTCGATTGAATTGGCGGCATGAAAAAATAGCGACAAACAAAAAGCATTTTCGAATTTAAATCTATTTGTCACTTGGCAAAGTTTGTGCTACCTTTTTGCTAGCCAAGTGGCAACTTTTCTTCTCTTTTTTTTTTATTTCCTACACGCACAAAGTTCACCGTGAGCCGAACCGGTTCCACAATGAGCCGGAACATACAGATTTCTATGCCTATCAGGCAAATAGAGCTGGGGCCAAGTGACAGTTACAAATTTGCTGAAATAAATGTGGGGCTGGGATCTGGGGGAGAGGAAACCCCAAAAAGAAAACAAATAGGAAATTCAAATGAATTGTGAGTGGCTGGCGAGTGCCGTTCTCCGTGTGTCCAGCTACTTATTAGGTCTGTCCAGGACTTGTTTTCTCTCTCCTTAAAGCTTTAAGCATTTGCTCGGATGGCCAGCAACGCAAAAGGCCATCAGTAGCTCAACACTAGACTACACGGTCGTGGAACGGGCAAATGATTTGCATTTATTTATTTGTGTGTTTCTTCTAGCGTGTCCTAATGCTCCTCCCCCACGCCCCTCTCCTTGTTGTAGCTTAAGTAGCTCTTTGCTTTGCTTGTCTCTCTTTCGTTTCGTTTTGTTTTCTTTTGTGCTTTGACATCTCTTTGGTCTGCTGATAAAAATAATCCCATTTATTGTTTAATGCTTAATAAATAAAGCAATTTTTATTTATTTGCAGCGTTTTGTTTCTGCTTCTTCTTCATCCTCTTTGTGGCTTGTTTTGTGTGTTTTTTTATTGATTTTTTGTTGTTTCTATTTTCTACTTAGCGTTTTTGTTGTTATTGTTGGTTTCAGTAAAATGCCATCAATTGCTTATTGTTTTGATAATGCGTTTTGTTATAGTATTTTATTGTTTGTACTTGAGCTCTGTCTCTTCTTCTTGTTGCTCTTGTTGTTGTTCGGGTTCTCAGAGTATTTTCTGTTATACGCTGCGTATGCTTTATATTTTGTTGATGCATACGCAAAGTATGTACATATTTTGCTCGTTTGCTATTTATTTTTAGTTGACCCACTGATTCTGTTTGATTAATTGTTCGATTTAAATAATGTAGAGCACAAATTGAAATATCAATCAAACATTTTATTCAAAAATGAATGAAAAACCATCAATTAATAAATAATAATAAATGGCAAACTGCTGGATTGCTGCGTCTCTGTGGCAGCGTAGCAATTGGAGTGCCTGCCACTGCCACAGCCACTGCTAATTGGCACAGCACACATCCACGCAGTCGACACTCGTATGCTCTGCTCTTTGGTGTAATGCACTCGCAGCTCGCACGTGGACTTCACTGTATTCAATTAACGCCGGAAATGCGGCACCAGCGCAAAGGAAAGAGTCACTGATAAGGATGCAGCTGGTTGCGGCTGCGTCTGCTACTGGTGGATGTCATAAAAGCAATGAATGTTAAGCATCTCGTGTTGGTTTAATTAATGCAATTAAACGGCAAGCGAAGATAATTGAAATTGCCCATAAAAATGAATGCGACACATGTGCGGCAACATCTTGGTTCGCTCACTCGGGGTGCCACAATTTGTCTTCGATAAGGTGTCACATAAATTAGCTCTACCACAAAGAACAATTCTATACCCTACAAACAATGCTAGCTGGGTGGGAATCCTCTTTCCGTTTGAAAATCAATTACTTAAATAATATGTGAAAAGTTTTCTTATTTTTGCACAAATACCCGAGTTGAAGGCTTAAATAAAGTTGTAAACACTTAGGGCAACACGAGCTGGCAACATGGCAACATGGCAACATGGCAACTTGTAAGCCACTCTCGAGTACATATCTAAGCAATTTCTTGGTCAGCTATCAGCTTTCGTGGCTTGTTGTTGTGGGTGTGTCTCAGACACTAATTGCAGCTTGTTACGTTACCTGGGCAAAAAGGGAGGCAACTTCCGGTAATTAAGAGTCGAGCGGCGACTCCGCAACGTGACACCAACACCGAGGCCAAGCAGCAGACCTAGACCAAGACCATGCCAAGGCATAAGGACAGAACTTGACGCAGTCACTTGTTGATTTAATGTCCTGCAGTCGCCAGTGCCGTCTGCAGTCATATATATATAGCGAGAATATATACTATGTAGGGGCAGTGCACAAATCCCACTTAGTGTTTTTTTCAATTAAAACTTGTAAATTTGAAATGAGCCCCGAAAAGTTGGGCAAACAGCAGCAGAATTTATGTGGCAGCGCCTTCGGGGCACGACTGCTCGAATTCATAAACATTGCATACAATTTTAACTAGTCGACAGCGGCTGCAACTCCACCTGGGCCAGGGCTGGCTTCAACAATGGCCACGCGGCTGGCCGCCAATGGCCAATGAACCTTTTGCATATGGCCGGGCCAAGCTAAGGTCAACATGTGCCCAATGTTCTACGCCATGTTGACTCCATTGAAATCTATTATGCATTGGGGAGGCAAGGGAGCTCAGAAGAGGAGTAGAGCAGGCCGACAGGCGGGCAGGCAGGCGGCGTGGCCATGTGCAAGCGCATTATGCAAAAGTTTTGCCTTAGCTTTACAATTTTTCTGGTATAATATAGAGACTCATGTGTGGAGGCACTTGAGTGCGAAGTGCTTAACTGGGTCGAGCAGCAGAAGGCTCCAGTTCCGCTGGCAGCCGTGTGAAATGCAATCAACTTTTTGTTTGCTGCACAATTGGGCGCAAAAGGCGAGCGGATGAGCAGGTGAATATGATAGACAAAAGGAACAATGAATAACGTGAATAAAAAAAAAGAAGAAAAATGCAGCCAATGAGAGGAAGCTTAAAGCTTAAAGCTTGGATTAAATTGCATAAAAAGCAAGAGATTTGAAGCTCTTCAGATTTTCAGCAGATTTTCAGATGTTCTGTCAAATAATCTTTAGCAGCACTTCAGCTCAGCCCATCAGAGGGCAATGCCACGTGGCATCATTTCTGTCAGACGCACGACCAATAAATTATTTATCAAACAAAGAGCATGCTCAATGGCAACAATGACACTTTGAACAGCAGCAGCAGCAGCAGCAGGAGTCAGCCGAATGTTGCCACAACCCTTGGCCTACAGGCGGCCCACTTCAGCCCAGACATCCGGCTCTCATTGTTTCCCTGCCCACTCAGCGAATGGCAACAACAACGAGAATAAACAACAATAATAAACCATATAAATAAATGATAAGCCTCGCACATGTACAATGACATCCCGTGAAAAGGTAGATGTATATGTATCTGTGAGGCTTCTCTC